ACCTGTTCGGTGCAGCGGCAATTGATAAAACATGATGTTAGCAAGCTCGGCTTTGCCAAGCAAACACAATACCAATGTATCCGAGCTTAAGCAACACGCCCGTTGGCGACATTCGCAACAAAACTGGGTACATTCTGCAGCCATTGCTCTGAGAGCCTCGTAATGCTGCCCCTAAGCAAGCCAACGCTTTGGCGCGCGAGACTGCTGCCGGGGAAAAACAGCTGCCCATTAAAACATGCACAGATCGCTTTGAGTTCTAAACCCAAGTGGGTTGGGCTTTGGTTTGGGATGACCTCACACACCAGAAGCTACCCATGAATACCCATAGCCATTCTTTCACAAACGCGACACCCTGGAGAGCATGCCGCGTTAACGGTTGCAAAACATGCCATGCCATTTCTGACCAACACGTGGGCAAAATCTCGCGCTGGCGTCTCCCAGTCGATTTCCCGATCATTGATGCAGGTCAACCGGAGATCCTAGTTGACATCTGTGAGACTGCTTGAGATGCCAAGCCATGCCAAGTCCAGCAAAACCAGGAGACATAGATCACAGGTTGCTGCAACATGGCAGTGCATAAGAACTCCAACCCACGGGTAGTTTGAGCTTGGTTTCATGGAGCATGAGCCAGCCATGGGTGCCAAATTTTCTCACACACGACATATACCAACATTGACCCCGCACCGGCACCCTCACAACACTCCAGCAACCGTGCACCTATGGAGGTGCTAAATTGACATGCCGGATGACCGATCGCGCTAGAAGACTTGGCATTCTCAAGCATCTCTCACTCAAACCCATTCTTGCTGCTGGTCTGCCTCAGTCTGGCCTGCCGCAGCAGACTCGATGCCCTTCTTGCCTTCAGACATGCTCTCTTCCGCCTGCAAACGTGTCAAGTCAAACAAAGGATGCACACCACAAACCGGCAGAAACCGCGCCGGGGCAGTTTTAAACACACTAAAGGCCCCCGGGCACACTGAAGTGAAGGATACGCCCCAATCCAGCAGCCGACGGCCGAGAGTGCCAACCAACCCTGCGGCAGGCAGGGCCAAGTGCCCAGCCTGTAGCGCTGGCGGCCCCTGGGAGTCATAGCTTTGAAGGTTCCTCACCACCCAGTTGGCAGTCTGGGGCTTGGCTTCAGCGCCAGCTGGCTTGGCCCAGCGCTGTTTGTGATCCGCCCCCGTCTTCAGCATGAAATAGGTGAAGGACCCCTGGCCATGGCAAGCCATTGCAGGCTCGTGTGTGGTTTGGACTGTGGTAAACGGGTGCAAGGTTTTCACTGTGCAACGGAAGTCCAGCAGGGAACTGAGCCAAACAGGATGAACAGCAAGCAGCCTGGAAGCGGCTTCCCTTGTCGCTTGATCTTTACTTTCCTTCTTTCTTTACTTGCCTTCTTCTTGATTTGTTTGCTTCCTTCATTCATTGTGTCTTCTCTGCCTGCCCGGCTGGCTGCTGCCTGGCGACCATCTGTCTGTCTGTCTGTCTGTCTGTCTGTGTCCGTCTGTGTCCATCTCTGTCTCCGGCTCCGGCTCCGTCTCTCGTGAGTTGGCACTGAAACTGTTGGGCTCATTGCAAAAAGCATTCGCGCTTAAGCTACGCTTGATTAAACCCGTGCTGAACAAAATCGGACTGGTAGTTTTGCAACCCGAAGAACAGCTTCCGATAGCTTCTGTTGCAGCCTGGCCTGGTGACCTTGTTCCAGCTAGTTCCTAGTTTGGCTGTCAACTTGAAAACACGTTCTGGACTTTGTGCACGAGGCGGCTGGCAATGAAATCACCGGGCTGCGAAGTTGGGCAAGTCGGCCTGCCTTGGAGATGCAGTTGAGGATGGCGAAGCCTACGGCGTTGGACTTGGCATCCGCCAGAAGGCCCAGGCCCTCCGCAGACACCAGCCACCAGGCAGGGAAGGCCGGCCAAGTGAACCAGACCTGGAATGCGGGTGCAAACAAAATGGCTGAGGCAAACGGAGCGCTGCTACAAGCACAACCATGCAGGGCAAGCCCGAGTTAGCCTCTTTCCCTCATTGTGGGGCTGCTGGACATGCAGATTCTCTCCCAAAGCATGCTGCCCAACATGCCCACACGCAATCAACAAGGCTCAACATAAAGGCCCTGCTAAGGAGGACAAACACGCATGTTCAAGAAGTTTGACGCTTGTGCAGACACTTAGAACGCCCCCCTACGCAGCCCCGGTGACTGCTCATGGAGCTGACGGCCACTTGGCTGTTGGTGCTCATTGCGACGCATTCCATTTTGAGAAACGCCCATTGTGGGAGCCTCCAGTCAAAGCTTGCTGCCCTTCCCTATCAAAAGAATGAATCACGCACGGGCACGCACATCATGAGCCGCATGTAGTAGTACGGAAGGTCCTGGTGAGCTTTGCAGCCGCCTTTGATGAAGTAAATCAGCGAGAGGAACGGCATCTGCACCAACATCAAGCCACACAGTCCAACCGCGGTCGCGCCGATGAGCAAGCCCTTGTTAGTCACGATCAGCACGGAGAAGTTGTAGTTCCTAAAGGAAATTGCGCTCCAAATTACAGCAAAGAACAATCAGCCCTCTCTGTCCAACACTTCCTTGCTGACCATTGGCTCAGCACTACCCTGATTTCACGCCAGATTCGTAGACATAATATCATGCTACCTTGCCAAAGGAAGTTTTGTAAAAAAACAAACGTCTTACGAAAGATTGAGTCCTAGCTAGTTGGCCAATGTGAGAAGGTCTAGCAAATGAATAAACGTGGCAAAACAGCACGCATTGGAGTGAGATCAGGCGTTTCGCGGACATTCAAATGGTGAACTCTCAGTGTTGCGCAACGGTGTGAACGCCCACTCTTCCGGACCTTCAAATGGTGAGCCCGTCGCCCTCTTTCGGCTGCCGACATTCGAAAGTCGGTGTGTTCTTTGTTCGCTTCTCTAGATCATTGGCGCGGCAAAATACAGCGCATTGCTAGTTTCAGAACAGTGAACATCAGTGAACCCTTTCAATCCGGTTGGCGTGTCACGGGGCTTTCTGTGGCCTCGCGGACTGGGCAACACTTCCACACATTGGAATAGCAAGATCAAGCAATCCTCGAACCTCCAAATTTTAGACTTGGCTCGCCTTTTGCCATTCTGCACTTTCTGGCACGGCGCGATGCAGCGAGTTGAGGTACACTTTAAAGTTCACAGCTCTGGCAAAGTAGTGCGAAAGTAGTACGCGATCGAAGTACCCGTTCGCAGCTCCAGCTTGGCTGCCCTGCGAGGCTGTAGTGTGGACGGGTCACTTGTGTCTCAATGAGGACGCAATGCGCAGCAGCGACTTTCCGTTACTACCGGTTGGGGCTGCTAACTAGCCTTCGAGCCCGGTTGGTTGCACACATGTGCATGTACGCATGCAAAACCACATTGACGTGGCGCGCAAAGCCACGCAGTCACTCACTCTTAAAGTGTTCATCAAGGTATCTAAATCAGCGTTGAGCTTGTACCACGGTCATTTGTTTGCTTATTTGAACATCTAGGCTTGCTCGAAGCTTTGGCGGGCTTGCCCCACGTGGGCACGCGGTGTGTCGGTTCATTATCCTCGGTCGTGCGCCCTTTCCGGCCACTCGCAAGAGCACGTACTTCAGAAGCAGGGAACGAAAGCTATAGCGTGTGGCAAGGTAGCAGCGTGTCCGTGGTCCGTCGTTTCGCTTGTGCCTCTTGCAGGGAAACCTGGTCCTACAACGTAGGACTTACCCCATTAACACTCCAAGCCTTGGGGAAGTTAAGCTTTTACAGCCATGTAGCCCAAGTTAGCCTTTAAAAAGGCCTTTGAAATTATCTGAGTCGTTGCCGAAGGGTGTCATACTTGCGCCAAGCGTAATACAAAACCTGACCCAATACCCGCAACCGCCACAGCGCATAACCTGCATCGAAGATCCACGCAACCCATAATCTGCCGTCTGCAAGCCGCGTGAGCTAGTCTGTAAACCGCACAATCCGCAACCCGCCAATCAAGGGTGCTTCCAATCACAGATGGCCTGGGATTAGAATGATCAGCGCGTTGTTTATCTTTAGTCTTTTGGGAAGCGCGTAGCGGGTAACAGCTTCAGTGTTTAAACAGGTGTGTGGGGTAAAATGAACAAAGCGCATTGTTCATCTTTAATTTTTTGCGGAAGCGTGTGGTGGGTAAAAGCTTCAGTGTTGGAACAGGTGCGCAGGGTCGCCTTGGGAGAAAGAATGAACAAAGCGCAGCTGTTGATCTGTCCGAGGAGCCCGGTCAGGATTCCTGCGGTCCACATTGGGCTACTACAACTGGCTGTTTATAACATATCTACACGCAGAATCATGTGTGAGATTTGCGCGACACTGCTTTACAATGGATGGATGGCGTTTGGTGACACCAAGCGAGCCAATGGAAATAGAACATTCGACTACCCCCAGCGGCGGAAGTGGTCCAGGGTGGATTCGAGCTCACTTGGGCACATATCAGCCCTGTTCGGCCCCCCCCCCCGCAAAAGTGCAACATCTCTGACAACCAAGGGGGAAAGGGGGGGGGGGTCGGCCTGGGTTGCTTGATCCAGTGTTTCACCGAAGCCCTCCCATAAGGACTCCCATGGGCGTCTTGTGGGCCCTTGCTCCCCTCAGGCATTCAGACACCAGATCCCAGCCAAGCTTCTCTACAAACGATTCCCAGCTAGCATCTTCGAAGAGGAAGCCGGATTGCAGCGAGCCGAGCCAGCCCAACACGAGCCATAGGTGCGTGAAAATGACAACGGCAACCACGTTGAACTTGTAGCAGGGCACCTGCGACTCGGCAGGGTGCATGGACATGCACCTGGAAACTCTACCACAAAGCCCTTTTTGAAACAGTGGCTGAGTCAAGGCGCATAAGGAGCAATGAGCACCACAAGTTCTGCTTGCATCAATGCACAGGTGAAGGCGTAGCCAAGGTAGCGCAGGCCATTCCTCGTGGGCTCGCATGTACATGTGCATAATGATTCCGCAAGACGGAGCAGGTGTCGCAAGCCAAGCCAAGCATCACGTTGGAGATGTGCAGCCAGCGGAGAACACTGAAGAACGCTGCCGCGGCCTGCGCGATGCACATGGCGAGGTTCAGCAGCCGGCACAGCTTGATGCGGTCCTTGCACGCGCGAGGTGCACATTCAGTCTGCAGTGCAGCGGGGCCCTTGTACAAGGGCAACAAAAGGACCTTTGGGTGAAACGCGCCTTCCCCAACTTTATCCAAAATACCAGAGCGTTAGCGGCCAAGCGCGGGTGAGTTGTGGGCGTCCAGGGCATTGCAGTCCAACTCAGTGGGGGAACTTTGAAACTTTAACCTTGGAATGCGACCTCTGTGCACGTACCACACTATCAATGTCACATGGGGAAATGCCGACTTGGGCTGAGTCGCTGCTTATTGATGGAGGGGCCTCAGAGCTGGTGGTGCTCCCAGCCTTCCAAATGGTGATGCAAAGCTTCCCCATAAACCGCTGTGTGCTGGACTTGGGGGGATGTTCGGCGGTGTCCCCTCTCCAAGACTTCACGTTCAGAAATGGATCTACGAACTGCGGCGCAAGAGTTGACCTGCGTCCTCTGCCACATGCCAAGGCTCTGCCAATGACCGCTTGTTCATCTCGGGCCAGGTCTTCATCTCCTGTCCCCCTCCAGCCCGGTCCCTCCCCGCTGCAAAGACCATAGCGTGTGAGGGCACAGAAGGACTCAACATTCCGCATGGCAGCGCCAGCCCTTCCACGGCTTGGTGGCTGGCTGTGCGCCCAAGCGGAGAAACAGTTGAGGCAAAGATTGGCCTTGGCAACGTGGGCCCAGCTGCTTGATCGCATTGACTTCTGCCTGGATTCACACTTGATAGCCTCCTAAAACAGTTGGCTTAGCCTTGTCATGTTTTCTCCCTTTCACAGACCAGATTTTTGAACGCACGCTCGGACACTGTGCGTCCCCCCCCTCTCCGGCCTTCCACCAAAAGTTGAGGGGCTCCGAGGTTGAGTCCACAACCCAGCGATAGGTGGCCAAGACTGGCGCGTTGACGTCCTCAGGCGATCCACCCTGAGGAACCCATCCTTCGGCGCATGGCAGAGCAGGCCATAGAAATATAGGGCGAAAAAAACACAAAAAAGCGGAACAAACCATCATGGTGCCCACCGACATTGGAACCTGCACTCAATGTCTTTTTGCGGGCAAGTCTCAGTGCGCACTGTGATGCGCAGGGCCAAATAGCAGAAGAACACGCCGAGCAGAATGCCTCGGGCGTTGAGGCAGGCTTGCCCTTTTGGACATGTTTTGCTACATTGCAAGGCAATATTCCATTGATTCCTTTGGAGTCGACCAAAATCAGCAACACTGATGCTGCACCAATGATCGCTAAGGCCAGCGCGCTCCATTTGCAAGCTATGTTTGTCAAATCGTCACTTGTTTCAGAAATCAGGCTCGGGCAGGGGTAACCAAGCAAACCCACAATTTGACAAGTCTCCAAGGGGTTTGCTTCTTGCTTACGATGCCGCGACTCAGACCACCAGCAATTGGCGAATGACACGCGCCAATCCCCTGGAAGATCAAGCTGAGCAGCTGGTCAGGCTTTCAATGGCGAAAGCCGGGTAGAGGGGACCACAGGCGCGGAAGAGCTGGAAGTCATTGAGGTCCTGCCAGGTTGAAAAAGAAAGGGCAGAAACATATATACGCGCAAGCAATGCAAAACAATCAAGCAACCAAGCAAAACCAAACAAAGACAATGAAGCAACACTAAGCAAACAACAACACAAACAAACACAAGACCAAGAATGCAAGCGAGCAAGCAAAAATACAATCAAAACAACCAACCAAACAAACGCAACAAACCGCACAAGAAAACAACACAAGCAAACAAACAAACAACCGAATAACAAACAAACACAACAAAAACACACAAGCAAGCAAGTCCGCACACAAGCGAACAAGCCTACAGACAAACAATGACACAACCACACACACAAACAGAAACACACAAGCCAAAGCAAGCCAACCGAACCGAGCCGACAAACACACCGGGCAAAATACAACAAAACAAGCAAGCAAACCATCAAATAAGCACCACACACACACAGACACAGACACACAGACACACAGACACACAGACACACAGACACACAGACACACAGACACACAGACACACAGACACACAGACACACAGACACACAGACACAGACACACAGACACACAGACACACAGACACACAGACACACAGACACACAGACACACAGACACACAGACACACAGACACACAGACACACAGACACACAGACACACAGACACACAGACACACAGACACACAGACACACAGACACACAGACACACAGACACACACACACAGACACACGACACACAGACACACAGACACACAGACACACAGACACACAGACACACACACACACACCACAGACACACACACACACACACCACACACACCACACACACCACACACACACACACACACACACAACACACACACACACACCACACACCACACACAACACACAACACAACACAACACAACACAACACAACACAACACAACACAACACAACACAACACAACACAACACAACACAACACAACACAACACAACACAACACAACACGACACGACACGACACGACACGACACGACACGACACGACACGACACGACACGACACAACACAACACAACACAACACAACACAACACAACACACCACACACACACACACACCACACACATGCAAACACAAACCACACACACACACACACAAAATGCAAACACACACACACACACTGCAAAAGGCCTGCAAAGGCCTGCAAAGGCCTGCAAAGGCAACTTTACGATCAAGCAATGCTTGAGCTTAGCGGGGAAAACAACGCGCCACTTTCATGCATATCGCCCACGACATCGCAATAATAACCCAAGTGGGTTCAGATTCGCCTGTTGCCTGCAGAAGACTATTGACTTGCCTGCTTGCCATGCACCTTGCGACCAGCAAGTCAGCAGCCCGGCCTCAATTTGAGCCATTCTCAAATATTCTCAGCAGCGGCAGATAGGCACGATCGCTGGAGCCAACAAATGCTGATGTGCGTTGTGTTGCTTGTGACCTTGGCGTACCCATTCTTTCATCAGTAGCAAACAGGCACTGCGGAAGGTGTGCAATCGGACTGTGCCCTCTATACCTAAACCGATCTCTAGCCATCTAGCCTTCTGCCCTCTCAAACAACACGGGATCAGGTGATTGAAAGGCAGGAGAAGAGGTGAACTTCTCAAGCTTGGGAGGCCTTTGGAAAAAAACTGCAAGTGGATTCCGTTGATAGGGCGTGAGCATGCAAGCCGCAAGAATCCCAAATAAGTATTAAGCCAACAAATCACATCCATCACAAATCACCCGGGCCATGCACAACGGCTTCATTCATCAATCCGCACGCCTGAACTATGCCACAAGAACCATTCCACGAAGGATGCATGGGGACACGTGCATGGTCAGGTTGCTTGAGTTGGGCCCATGCTGCAGCCCCAACCGGAAATGTGCGGGGCCAAATCCAAATGATAAAATTCAGCAAAGCCTGAGGAAAGTCGCAAAAGCTGGGTGGATGCATCCACGACAAGGAGCAAACCCACAAATAGCCACAGCATGATAAGCGCAAGGCGAAGCAAGCCGATTCCCGCAGTTGTGATGCCATGATAATTTCATGCGTACCTAAATGTTACCGAGACTTGTAATTACAAGGCATCAGTAAAGGTCCGCCAATAACAAAGGGTGCGTACTAGGGGCTGAATCTATGAACAGTGTGCACTGCAAGGTATGCAACATATCGCAGTCCAGCCGCCACATTTTCAAATGGCTCAAGTCCTGGTACCCTGCTGGCTGTGAGTAAACGTCTTCGGAACGGCATCTCACAGATTTCCTTCAGAGATGCGGTGAATGGGGGTGAGGTGATGGTTCGGGAGTCGCGCTCGGAAGTGCCAGTGAGCAAAAGTAGACTCTGCAATTGAAAAAGTCTGAGGACGGCTCACAAATGCTAGCCTGGCCTCGACAGTCTGGGCGCGAGCCACGCCAAATGCCAAACGGCAATCACTGCCCTGACGCGAAAACACAGGCTTGTTGCCACACAGTGTGTTTGACATTCAGCGACTACTCAACGTGCTGGCTCGAAAGTTGGGCCTGGCTGATGGCACAAAGCATGATGTCCGAGCTTCTTGGGCATATGTGATCGCATTGTTGCGCTGGTGCATGCACCTCTTGAACAACTTGCTTGATTGCTTGGCTTCGCCAAGCATCCGAGCTTCTCATAGCATATAATCATCCGGCCTGCTTTTTAGCTACTTTAGTTCGACGAAAGCAGCAAAACACCTTGGGAGAGGGGCAAAGTTACTCCTGGCAAGGTGCGTCTGAGGACAGCAGCCCAGGCGCATGTGGGCATTTGTGAGTTTGACACATAACCGTTCACTTGCTACCCAGTCTTACCACATCTCAGCGTCACGTTGTCGAAACTGCGCCACACTGTCTCAATTTCCCCGCAAGGCTCATCGCAGGCCCAAGCTTCCAAATTGTCAGTCCAAAAGGGACGCCTTTGAATGAGCGGACTGAATGCCAGTGCAAAGATGCCGAGCCAGAAACAAGCGGTGGATGTATAGTATACGAATATTAGATAGAACCTAACGCCCTGCAACAAGCAAGCCCAAACACCAGGTTGAGCACAGTCAAACGAAGACGTGAGGTCAATGCACAAGGTCAAGGAAACGACCTGAATGGCCTTTTCCCATTCCGGCCCAGTCCAGGTTCTCATTACTTGAGGTGCTCAAAGGTTTGTTTAGGCGTCTTGCGCCTTGGCAGGTGGCAGGTCTTCCAGTGATCCCAGAAAACGCCACCATGTGGTGAACCAATGCGCTCAGCTTGAATCTGCGAGACGGCTACATGCCCAACCCAAAGGATGCTCTGCATATCCAAATTAAAGGCCTCGGCCATATCACCCTAAAGCACCCTGGCAACGAGTTTGCGCACCTAAGGGCAACACCCTGTCAAATAACAAACGGTGGCTAGAGCAAAGCATGCTGGCATGGCCTGAATACAAATGATTGGCTAAGATGCGCCGGCTTCATTTCATTTCAACATCTCTGTTCGACCTTGGAAGTATGTCTTAAACTATTATGTGTTCTCAACTTTTTTCGGGATAGGCCTCCCTACATTACCCTGCAAGGTTCAGGTCGGATTTTGGGTGGGCGGCCGGTTGGGGGTAGGTTCAGGTTGGCTGTAGGGTGGGTTTTCGGGTAGGTTTAGGGCAGTTTGGGGTGGGTTTAAGGTTGGTGCAGGGTGGAACTTGGCTGGTTTAGAGTGGGCACAGGATAGGTTTCGGTTCGGGTAGGTTTAGGTAGGTAGGTAGGTAGGTAGGTAGGTTGGTTGATTCGATTTTATTCGATTGATTGAGTGATCGCTTGCCTGGCTGCGCTTGCTCAATTGCTTGCCTGCTTGCTTGCTTATCCTTGTGAAACGAGTCCCACTCCAGCGGGGAGCAAATCCTTGAAACAATATAGAACCCTTCTAAGAATGGTCGGCGTGTTCCTTTTCACAAGTCCTTGCGAACAAAGGCCAAGGTTGGGCATCAACGCCTCTCAGACCCAAGTATTCTGCGCCTGCTCAGTATCTGACGCGTCCTTCTCGCCTTCAGCTTCCGCGGGCAAGCTCTTTTGCACCTGGCGAGCGTCACGCGAAGCCACAAACCCCGAGAAAACAAAAAGGCTCCTTCGCGAACAGCGGCCGCAAGAGGGGCCTGCCCGGCCTGGGGGGCACCCTGGGAGTCGTAGCTCTGAAGATTTCTCACCATCCAGTTGGTCTCCGCAGGTTTGGTTCCAGTGCTCGGCTGCTTGGCCCAACGCCTCTTGTGGTCTGCCCCAGTCTTCAGCATGAAGTAGGTGAAGGAGCCCTGGTCATGGGCTGGTGGCAAGCCAAATTCAAAGGAACGCGAAGAATGGCAACTGCTTCAACATGAGATCAATGCACGGCGACTGTGCTGAGGCAGGCTCGACAAAACATCAAACAGCCCGAGCAATTGGTCAAGAGAGCCAAAAGGAAAAAGCGGCGGCCCCCTTCATGAGACCTTGGAGATGCAGTTGAGGATGGCGAAGCCCACAGAGTTGGACTTGGCATCCTCCAGGAGGCCCAAACCCTCCGCGGACACCAACCACCAGGCAGGGAAGGCCGGCCAAGTGAACCAGACCTAAGCTCATCATCATGCCGTGGATGCCTGCAGAAAGCCCCCCTCTCTGATGAAGCAATCTTACAGGGTTGGTTCAGGCTTGCACGGCTCCAAATCAATCCAGGCAAAGGCTGGGAGGCTAGGACGCATGAGCATGCAGAACGTCCATGCTGCGGTGTCTGATCCTTTTGGGGCCCATGGCTCTGCTGGTTTTTGACACCGCTCATGGACTCCCAGTCTTCTCTCGGACATGACACCGTCATCATGAGCCGCATGTAGTAGTACGGAAGATCTGGGTGAGCTTTGCAGCCGCCCTTAATGAAGTAAATCAGCGAGAGGAACGGCATCTGCACGAGCATCAAGCCACACAGCCCGACTGCTGTCGCGGCAATGAGCAAGCCCTTGTTGGTCACAATCAGCACTTCAAAATCATAGTTCCTCAAAGGAACGATGCACATCAAATTGGGTGGCTACTGAACAATGGAACGAGACTGCCCACCATGTGCCCACCCTGCCCACCCTGCCCGACACTGACTGCCCGCCATGTGCCAGGCCAAAGCTCTGAACGCTAACTAGATGCAATTTCAAAGGGAATGGGTCTGGCTATTTCTGCTTGTTGCTATAAACTTCGGCACACAATCCCAGAAAGCAAATCAAGCAAGCAAATGCTGGCTGTGTTGCCTGCCTTTCTTCCTGAGACACAAAATCCGAGCCAAGCATCTCCACAAACGATTCCCAGCTAGCATCTTCGAAGAGGAAGCCGGATTGCAAAGAGCCGACCCAGCCCAGGACCAGCCACACGTGCGTGAAGATGACGACTCCCACCACGTTGAACTTGTAGCAGGGCACCTCAGCTGGGGACGATGCAAACGTTTGTTGCAAAGTGCAAACTCATGTTCTTCCCGTTCGTTGCTTGAAGTAAGTATAGTGACGGACATACACTTAGAAACGGTTTTGGAAATTTTCTTTTGGCGCCAGGTACTTTTTTCGTTTCTAAGTGCTGTCCCCAGCAGGTACCTTTCGTTTCTAAGTGTTGATCCGGACTGCTACAACCCAATTCAACACTTAGAAATGGTTTTCAACACTTAGAAACTGTTTTCAACACTTAGAAACGGGTTGCAGCACTAGCCCGACAGCTGTTTATGATCGTTCATGTGTTTCACGCCTTGTTTGATGGCCCCACCTTGCTCACACACGTGCTGACATGTATGGAGGATTGGTCATGTATACACACAAACAAATCCAATTGGTCGACTCTTGGGGGGGGGGGGGGGTTGGGGGAGGCGTTTCTAAGTGTTCACCCCCAGCTGATTTCTTGGCTTGCGACGCGGGCGATGGCTTGGATGGAGAGATTGCCTCCTTTTGGTACCTGAGATCTAGATACATTATGAGTTTGTTTTGAACCGTACTTGATTTGGACCAGGTATATATACACATATATGTAAGTATGTGTTGTATGTAAGTAAATGATGCCTTGCTCGCAAACGCACTGACATATAGGAATTTTTGGTCATGCACATATACAGACAAGCCCCATTGGTAGAATCTGGGGCGGGGGGGGAGGGTGGGGGGCGTTTCTAAGTGTTCACCCCCAGCTGATTTCAAGCTGTGATTTTTTTTTCTACTTTTTCCGGCAACCTCAAGAAAGCACCGATGCTCCCAGGATGAAGGCCCATATATACACATATGTATAAACGTGTGCGTGTGTGTGTTTGTGTAAGTAGATCATGCCTTGCTCACACACCTGCTGACATGTGTGGAGTATTGGTCATGTATACACACAAACAAGTCCAATTGGTAGTCTGGGGGGGCGTACAAGCCCAAGTGGTTGAATCCGGGCGGGGGGGGGTGTTTCTAAGTATTCACCGCCCGGCTGATTTCAGGCTTCCGTACGTATGCGTGTATGTAAATACATCATGCCTTGCTCACACACGCACTGACATATATGTAGTATTGGTCATGTGCATGCACAAACAAGCCCGATTGGTAGAATCTGGGGCGGGGGGTGTGGTTCACGCCCAGCTGATAACTTCCAAGCCGACCTGGCAACCCAAGGAGAAGCACCGAATGCCCACCGAGAAAAAAATTAATACTCTATATTTATATATGTAAAAAGTATGTGTGTGTAATGTAGATCATGCCTTGCCTCACACAGTGCTGACAGGTCTGGAGGATTGGTCATGTTACACACAAACAAAGTACACAGTTGGCAAGGACTCTTGGGGAGGGGTTGGGGGGGAGGACTTCTGTTTCTAAGCGCTTCACCCCCAGCTGATTTCAAGCTTCCGGCAACCCCAAGAAAGCAGCGATCCCCCCATGACGAAGGTCTGCACATGTATAAATATATGTGTGTGTGTTTGTGTAAGTAGATCATGCCTTGCTCACACACGTGCTGACATGTGTGGAGTATTGGTCATGTATACACAAACAAGTCCAATTGCTATACTCTGGGGGGGGGGGGTTGGGGGAGGCGTTTCTAAGCCCAGCTGATGTCAAGCTTCCGGCAACCCCAAGGAAGTGCTGACATGTGGGGAGGATTGATCAGGTATATTGGTAGACTCTGGGGTGGGGGTGTTGGGGGAGGCGTTTCTAAGTGAACACCCCCAGCTGATTTCAAGCTTCCGGCAACCCCAAGAAAGCACCGATGCCCCCAGGATGTGTATATATATATATATATATGTGTGTGTGTGTGTAAGTAGGTCATGCCTTGCTGACACAGTGCTGACATGAATGGAGTATTGGTCATGTATACACACAAACAAGTCCAATTGGTAGACTCTGTTGGGGGAGGCGCTTCTAAGTGTTCACCGCCCAACTAATTTCAATCTTCCAAGCTTCCGGCAACCCTAAAGAAAACACCGATGCCCCGACTACGAAGATATATATATATATATAATTATATACATATGTGTATGTAAGTAGATCATGCCTTGCTCACATAGGTGCTGACCTACATGGAGTATTGGTCATGTAATGTATACACACGTACAAGCCCAAGTGGTTGAATCCGGGCGGGGGGGGGTGTTTCTAAGTATTCACCGCCCGGCTGATTTCAGGCTTCCGTACGTATGCGTGTATGTAAATACATCATGCCTTGCTCACACACGCACTGACATATATGTAGTATTGGTCATGCGCATGCACAGACAAGCCCCATTGGTAGAATCTGGGGAAGGGGTGTGGTTCACGCCCAGCTGATTTCAAGCCTCCGGCAACCCCAAGAAAGCACCGATGCCCCGAGAAAAATATATCTATATATATATAAATATGTGTGTGTAAGTAGATCATGCCTTGCTCACACAGTGCTGACATGTCTGGAGGATTGGTCATGTACACACACAAACAAGTCCAATTGGTAGACTCTGGGGAGGGGTTGGGGGAGGCGTTTCTAAGTGTTCACCCCCAGCTGATTTCAAGCATGCCTCCACACAGTGCTGACATGTATGGAGTACTGGTCCGGGGGTTCAAGAAAGCCTCCGGCACCGAAAGCACCGATGCTCCCAGGATGAAGGTCTATATATATATATATATAAATATGTGTGTGTTTGTGGAAGTAGATCATGCCTTGCTCACGCAGTGCTGACATGTATGGAGTATTGGTCATGTATACCCACAAACAAGTCCAATTGGTAGACTCTGCGGGCGGGGGGGGGTTTGGGGGAGGCGTTTCTAAGTGTTCACCCCCAGCTGATTTCAAGCTTCCGGCAACCCCAAGAAAACAGCGATCCCCCCATCACGAAGGTCTGTACATGTATAAATATATGTGTGTGTGTGTTTGTGTAAGTAGATCATGCCTTGCTCACACAGTGCTGACATGTACGGAGAACTGGTCACGGGGGTTCAGGGAGGCGTTTCTAAGTGTTCACCCCCAGCTGATTTCAAGCCTCCGGCAACCCCAAGAAAGCACCGATGCTCCCAGGATGAAGGTCTATATATATATATATATGAATATGTGTGTGTTTGTGTAAGTAGATCATGCCTTGCTCACACAGTGCTGACATGTATGGAGAATTGGTCATGTATACCCTCAAACAAGTCAAATTGGTAGACTCTGGGGGGGGGGGAGGCGTTTCTAAGTGTTCACCCCCAGCTGATTTCAAGGCTCCCCCCATGAACTCTGTAGCATGCCTTGCTCACACAGTGCTGACATGTATGGAGTACTGGTCACGGGGTTTCTGTTCACCCCCAGCTGATTTCAAGCCTCCGGCAACCCCAAGAAAGCACCGATGCCCCGAGAAAAATATATATATATATATATAAATATATGTGTGTGTAAGTAGATCATGCCTTGCTCACACAGTGCTGACATGTCTGGAGGATTGGTCATGTACACACACAAACAAGTCCAATTGGTAGACTCTGGGGAGGGGTTGGGGGAGGCGTTTCTAAGTGTTCACCCCCAGCTGATTCAAGCTTCCGGCAACCCCAAGAGAGCACCATGCTCCCAGGATGAAGGTCTATATATATATATATATGTGTGTGTTGTGTGTAAGTAGATCATGCCTTGCTCACACAGTGCTGACATGTATGGAGTACTGGTCACGGGGGTTCGGGGAGGCGTTTCTAAGTGTTCACCCCCAGCTGATTTCAAGCCTCCGGCAACCCCAAGAAAGCACCGATGCTCCCAGGATGAAGGTCTATATATATATATATATAAATGAATATGTGTGTGTTTGTGTAAGTAGATCATGCCTTGCTCACACAGTGCTGACATGTATGGAGAATTGGTCATGTATACCCACAAACAAGTCCAATTGGTAGACTCTGAAGGGGGGGGGGGTTGGGGGAGGCGTTTCTAAGTGTTCACCCCCAGCTGATTTCAAGCCTCCGGCAACCCCAAGAAAGCACCGATGCCCTGAGAAAAAAATATATATATAAATATGTGTGTGTAAGTAGATCATGCCTTGCTCACACAGTGCTGACATGTCTGGAGTATTGGTCATGTATACCCACAAACAAGTCCAATTGGTAGACTCTGAGGGGGGGGGGGGGTTGGGGGAGGCGTTTCTAAGTGTTCACCCCCAGCTGATTTCAAGCTTCCGGCAACCCCAAGAAAGCAGCGATCCCCCCATGACGAAGGTCTGTACATATATAAATATATGTGTGCTTGTGTAAGTAGATCATGCCTTGCTCACACAGTGCTGACATGTATGGAGTATTGGGCATGTATACCCACAAACAAGTCCAATTGGTAGATTGTTGATTTAGACTTTTTTCGTTGTCTGCCTGTGTGCTGAACCGCCTGCCTGCCGTGCTCAATTGGACTCACCCGAGGACGGCCCATAGGGTCGGTAACGATCCTTTTGTAGGAGTCGCTCAGGTCGCCAGGAGAAACGGCGCTGAAGACCTGGTTGCAGAAATCGTGTCACAAACTTGGTGGCGCCAGATAGATGTCCCCTGCGAGCTCATCAACGTCCGAATTGCCGCCAGGGAGCCACTCGCGCGGCGCTGTCTTGATGTTCTCCAGGTGGTTGAGGCCCAGGCTCCAAGGGATGAGGGCGAGGCGATATCTGCGTCGCGGCTCCATGGCACCAGTCGCGGTAGAAGGTCGCGAGGGTACAGAGTCCGTGTCGTCGCGGGACTCCGGAACCGATTCTGGAGAAGACAAAGGTGCCCTGATAGCCAGGCTTGAAGGCGAGAAGGAGGAGAGGCCACGGAGTCTTCGGAAGAGGTAAGGCCGCACTTCCGCTTGTTGCTTCGGCGGAGAACAGATACAGGCGCCTTGGCCTCCACTTCGTGGGACTCATTGAGTGAAGCCCAATGAAGCCCCGCACCATGAACAGGACGTGGACGTGGCCAACGATGGTTTTGTAAGAGATGGACTTCCTGACGTCTTTATGGGCCTTGTCTGCTTGATGCAAGGTTCTGTAGATCTCTGAGTCATCTGATGATGAAGGGCAATCATGCGTGAGAGCATTGCAGGTCTACGTGCTGCTGGAGCACCAAGGCGCTGGCAAATTGTTTGAGCACAAGAAGCTGTCAATAACTGGGTCAGGCAATAATGCACATCGCTGATATGTACCACTGCTGCAGCTGCATGGTAGCACAGCACGGATACGTTAACAGTTTCACAAAATCAAAAAGAAGCAAACAGATTTCAAGCGCAAGGTTTCAAAAGGGCCCGAACAGGGATCCTTACATTATACACCTGAACATTGCTTTGTAAATGGTGGTTTCGCTTTATTTGGTGGCCATGTTTCAAATGTGCAAAATGTATCTTTTAAGGAGCCCTGCCGAACACAACACACACACACAAGAAAGGCAGGCTCAGGCGCGTTCGGATTGTCCAGAAGGTGAAACAAGGGCTGCAGATTTGCCTGACTGTGCCCTGCAGATAGGTAGATTCGCGTGAGCTGATCCATTGCTCACTAGAGAGCAGATTGCTGATGCTGCCGGGCAGTGTAGGGTCCTCTGATTCACCAGAGCTTCGTGGGGGTCTTGTAGTGTATAGAGCGGTCATTGACCTTGATGTAGAAGCCCAACAACTTGCAACTGCCTACCTGCTCAAGGACAATGGGAGAGCCGTAGAAGTCCGCGTCTAGCAGGGCCGCGAGAGGCAGACCATGACGCCCCGAGGGTCTTGTGGGATTTGGTAAGCAGCTGGTTTCTGCGAGCATGAGTGGCGTGTTGCTTGTGCTGGGTGTCGAGGAGAGTCATCAAGGGCGCATGAAGCCTGATCCAACGGTAGACCGTGATGCAGGGACTCATGCGCTCGATGCCGATAGGTCAAAGCGTCCACACAATACGAAGCGAGGGCAGAGGTGTAAAGCACGTGTGTAGGCAGCTCGGGGAACCTGGAACTTGTCGAGACCCGCAGCAACATGGCCTTGGATTTGGGACAGCCACGGTTGCCGTTGTCGCCATGTAGCGCATGTGCACTTGTCCGGCCCAGCGCCGGTGAGGTGGTAAGCGTCCTGGAACTTGTCGTACTTCTACAGGACGGAATGCACCTTGCGGGTGATGTGGAACGGGAGCACCCAACCGCGGTGGTGAAGTAGCAGCTGTCGTAGGAGACCTTGTGTAGTGGTTTTGTAGTCCGGATGGGAGAGCCACGGAAGACGTAGAAGACGATTGAACTTGGGGGTCTGAAGGCGTCTGACTGTGAAGACACGTTTGAGTATGGTGCGAACTCGCTGCCGATGAGGTTGTTTCACGTTGCCAGAGAGGTGGTGTAGCGCATATATGTCGAGATGCGAGTGCTTGCCGCTGGGCAGTTGTCTTTCCTGCTCCCACGACTTGATGTGCTCTGAGGTAAGCTTGGTGATGATCATCCAGGCTTGCTGGTGGTGGAGGGCGACCTGATGGTAATTGCGGCCGTGTACCGCGCAGCTACGACGTCAAGTCGTAAAGGTCCTCTGCCAAAGCAAGACCGAACTTGGTGGGCTGTGTACCCGGTCGAGACTTGTTTGTACTTGCGGTAGGTTAAGGAGCGGACATCGCTATGCGCTTGAGCATCAACAAACGTTCCGGAAGGAGAGGCAAAGTCAGCCCGTTGAGAAAAGGCCGAAAAAGGAAACACTGTTCAAGCGCCGTTTGTTTGGGAAGCTAAACCCCGTCGACCGTACAAATCGGAGCGGCTGAAAGGTTCGCTTACAACAGAAGAAGAAAAAGGAAAAGAAGAGGAGAAAACGAAAAAAGAGGGCCTTGCTGCAAGGAGGCCGAATTTTGCCGACAAGGGCTAACCAGTCTCTTCAAACGTCAACTCCCCTCGCGCCTCCGCAAGACGCAAGTTAGAACCAACCAGTCTCTTCAAACGTCAACTCCCCTCGCACCTCCGTAATACTGCCCTCCCCTTTTTCATATCTCGTATGGACCTCAACAAGAAGGCTGCCGTGAAAAACAGGGCCGCTGTATCTTGCCTCATCTCACTTGCCATACATAAACAACACCGTGATGAACTGCAGGGGTGTTCTGCGAGAGCTCTTAGCCACCAAGGGGATGGACGCTCCCCATTTCACCGTGCTGGTCCGGGGTGTCAGCCAGGTAGGCGGGTTGGTTGGACAAATACGCTCCTAGTCCTTAAGACCTTGTTGGTAGGGCGGTCTATTCATGTTTGGGATTGCCCTGCCGAAGGAGCCCTGGGTCAATGGAGAGCTTGGTGGTGGTATCCCGTAGGGGCAGGCAATTGCTGTGGAGCTGGGAGAGCATTTGAGGTGCAGACGGGCCTGAATGAACCGAGGTCGCCGGTCGCCGGCTGCTTCTCTGGGGCGAGCTCGACGCCGTTGTCCTTGTACCGCTCAATGGTCTGCCCCAGAGCTGATTGTGAAGGCTCTGGTCTTCCTGCTTGGCTGGTTGTAGGGATTCTAGAAGGTCCTCCCCGGGCGCTTGTCCGGCGGTTGCTGTCGTGAAGGGAGTGGGCCGTGCGATCGATTGCAACCTCCCTGTCACGAAGGGCTCTGAGTATACATGTGAGCAGAACGGCCTCGGCCATGGAGCGTGCCATCACGGGCGTCTAATAGCGATAGATAGGCGTCTGAGCGAGAAATCCTTGGCAGCTTCACGGAGGAGGTGAACGAGGTGGGGCGTGACCATAGACTGGGCTGTATAATTGCAGACCCCGAGCTTTACGCTGCTCCAGGAAGTTGTCGTTGTCGTGGTGTGTGCTAAGTTTCAACACAAGGTTTTTTATCGGAAGAAAAAGAACAAATGATTTTTTGATGTATTTGAGCGTGCGGCAAAGGCTGACAAACTCTGCTTCTGCCATCTGCTGCGACACCGCTTTTTGCTATCGAACGGCCTTTTTGCAGCGCCAAGCGCGGAAGGTAGCAGCGGTATTTGGAACTCACTTCTGTTCTTCAAAACCTACTTGCGTGCAACAATGCGGCCGCAACTTTCCGGCATTGCGATGGAAACCTTGATCGAGCGCCCAAGATGTCCGACTGCATTCTCTGCGAGACAAGCGGCCGGTGATGCTGGGGGTGCTGGCGACGCTTGCGATGTTGGCAACACAGGCAGGATGCGAGACACCTGCTACGAGCGACAAGTGTGATGTTAGTTGCACGAAAGAGCTAGAAGGCCGCGAGAAAACTTGCGCGCTTCAACCGAGCATAATGTCTGCAAAACAAGCGGCTGGTGACGCTGGGGGCGCTGGCGATGCCTGTGATGTTGGCGACGCAAGGAGAGAAGCCCTTTCTACGAAGCAGGTTGCGTTTAAAAGCCGGCGACGAGCGCGATGTTGGTGGCACGATAGAGCTAGAAGGCCGCGAGAAAACTTGCGCGCTGCAACCTCGAACGCGCAAGGTTTTCCGACTGCATTTTCTGCAAAACAAGCGGCCGGTGATGCTGGGGTTGTTGGCAAAAAGCTGCCAAAAGCATCAGAGCCCGGCTGAAGCAAACTGAGAGGTTCCCCCGAATCCGCCAAACTTAGGTTGCTCCCTCAAAATCCATCCGATCGATGAAAGTAAGCTGCGCAAGCCACACACACACACACACACCATCAGCCTGTTCGTTTAAACGGCGCTTCGGTTCTTGGTGCGCTGGATGCCATACATATTGCAAGTCAGGGCGCAACTGCTCAATGGGAAAATGGCCCAACACAGAGGAGGAGCTCACAAACTAGCAGAAGGGGCCTTACAGCACCAGAGCACGACGACACGACGATCCGCGCCGCTTCATCTTGCGCTAGTTTGCAAGCCAGGTCGCAAACATTGCTTGCTTTGCTTCCAAGACCCGACCGCCCGATCCCCAATGAATTCGTGAGGTGCGAAAAGTCAACATTTCGTGCTTCACACAATTAAACAATCCCCACTGTTCAGGTGCGAAATGTTGACTTTTCGCGCCGCACACATTGATTTGGGAATCGGGCGGTCGGCATGGCGCGGGCGGTTGGGATCTGGAGGCCTGGCGTGGTCTAATTCTGTGGTGTGGCTGGGCTTGTTTCAGGGCCAACCCTTTTCAGGTTCTCTTGCAATGTGCAAGTCTTTAGCCTCGTCCCGCGAGGACCGGGGTGCGGTTTTTCTGAGACTGGCCTGGAGGCCAGCCCAGCGCTGGTTTGAAAAAAAATAAACGTAGTTGAATGGTTGTAAAGCAGAAGGAAGGGCCGTCGGATGTACGTGACTTGTTTTGTGTCTCGCCAAATGCCCACCAGGCTTCTACGGGGCCTTCTTCCAAAGAACTTGTTCTCAAGCGCTGAGCATGACCAAGTGCAAGGCCCGCCCGTCCAGTGCTTGGCAAGGCACATATGGGGCAATGAGCACCACAAGCTCTGCCTGCATCAAAGCGCAGGTAAAGGCGTAGCCGAGGTAACGCAGGCCATTCCTTGCTGCAATGTGTCTGAAGGATTGCAGGCGCTTCATCCAAGGAGCCCACATGCTTGCCGAGCCTTCAGCATAAGAATGTGTGGGATCAATGAGCAATGGGAGCATGTGCGCACATACACAGGCACTTTAAGGCTAAGGAGATGGAGCAGGACTCGTACCGACCAAGCCTCCGAGCCCAAGCACAACGAATTGAGCACTGGAATGTTTCCCCCCTGGCATCTCAGGCCAAGGGGCACATTGGAGATGTGCAGCCAGCGGAGCACTGTGAAGAACGCTGCCGCTGCTTGCGCGATGCACATGGCCAGGTTCAGAAGCCGGCACAGCTTGATGCGGTCCTTAAACTGAGACTGGCTGTCAGAAAACTGAGGACCAAGCGGGCAATCCTGTCCACGTGCCATGGGTAGGATTATTGTCAAATCGCTGCAAGCACGCTCGGCCAAGCCGTGTGGTGCGGCTGCAGGCCTGGATCTCGCGTGCTAACACACGTGTCAAAGAACAACGCACGGACACCCTGGAGCCGGCACTTCGTGTTCACTCCACTCAGGGCACGCGCGCAAGGCACGCAGAGACCCAACCCACCCAACAAGGGACTGGAGAGATCTGACTGAGAAATGCGGATGCAAGCCAGCCACCTTTTCTTTCAATCTTTCGTGGCCTGCATGTTGGACATCCGCCATTAAAGTATATCAAAATTGTCGGCCGAGGCTCTGCCAAAGGACGGTTTGGCATATCCGGCCACTGTTTCATCTCCTGCGCGTTCACCCTTGGGGGTAAGCCAAAGGCCAATGAAACCTGCGACTCCACCACTCTTTCAATGCATTTTGAACCCCCCCTAAAAACAAAAGCAGACTCCAAAAACACGACAAATATAAGACTGGCTTGGTTATGCGAACCCTGACTCTTCGTAGGCCACTAGTTTCGGCGAATTTGACTGACTCAGCAAACATGCCAAAAACAAGCTCCCAAAACAAAGTTCGGAGTCATGCCCTTCATGGCGTTTGCGGCACTCTCCCCTTCCAGCTCCTGCCACCAGAACCGCAGGGGTTGCTTCAAGCTGTCCACGATCCAACGGTACATGGACGCCATGGGTGCGTTCACATCCTCGGAAAAGCGCTTGGCAACGCTCCAAAAGAATTTGACGCCCCGTGCCAAGCCGCGTGCGTCTGCGTCTGCGTCTGCGTGCGTATGTGTGTGTATGTGTGTAGTCTTGCGTTGTCAGCCTAGGCTTTGTGGCGTTGTGTGGCTGGACAATGCTGGCTGGACAATGGTTCATTAGGCACTCTCTACAGCAGAAGGCAAAAAGTCCCCTTCAGGGGAGCATCTGGTGAAAGGTGTGCCTCCCCAGAGCTGCCTACCATAATCACAGGCTTCAATCTCCCCATGGGCAAATCGCATCCGGCCAGGTCGCAGTACGAACGGTGATTCGCAGGGCAAGGTAGCAAAAGAAGAAGCCAAGCAGAATGCCTGGGCCCCACAGAGTTGCGCTTTCGGGACATGTAGGATAAGCTACTGACAATGGTTGGGCATCTTGAAAAGCTATGCGCCAGCAGTCCATACGGGATCGCTGCGAAGCACGCAGTGCGGGAGACTTGCGAATCTCGGTCAACGAGGCCCTGTTGCAATATAGTTTCCTCAAAGTTCTGCTACGATCTGGCCTTTCGCCCTCCCAGTTTACAAAGCATGGTAGAGTTTCTCCTTTGCACGTAGGTCATGGACATTTGACATGTGCCGGGGAGCTTGTCAAGCTCTCAATGGCGAAAGCTGGATAGAGCGGACCACAAGCACGGAAGAGCTGGAAGTCGTTGTAGTTCTTGCGGGCACAAAAGCAGGCACGCACGCCTTGTTTCCCACCCAGGTGCTCTGAGAACACATTGCCCACAAAGCTAATTACAGCGCTGGCAAATCAAAAGATGGGAATGCATTCTGTTGGGTGCGCTTCAAACGTATATGAAGGGTCGAGCATCTCTGGCAATACTAGATTGCTTCACCTCAAACACAAACACACAAAAGATCTGTGGCCAAATGCCCAGTTTGTGCCCAGCACTGTCGTCCAGCCTCCATTCCAGTGGCCATGGCTGCAGTTGCTGAAAGGCGAGCAACGGTGTGATAGCTGAGCCAACCCAAGGCTGCAGGTACACCTATCGTCACTTGCCGGAAAAAAGTGAAAGTGGCCCAAATCCGCACCTGAAGTTCTGAAGCTTGGCCTGCTGCAGCAAAAGCATCGCAAAGCATGCAGGTGCGCGGTGCTGCATGAGTTTAGGGTACATAAGGACCAACGTTTGCAAGACTGCGCGGTAGGATTTTTGGACGGGCCCGCTTTTCAAGGGCTAAGGAACTGTCTGCGCCCGGCACGGTGCACCGTGGACGGTATCAAGTCTTGAACTTTGGTGGTGGTGGTGCGGGGGGTGGTTTCGCCTCCAGTTGTAAGCTTAGACGATTTGGGAATTTCGGTGCACGAGTGGTCCGATGTCCCGGTGTACAACGATACGCCGCACTTGTTGAGGGGTGTTGAGGGGGGCTCACTGTGGATCAATGCTTCTTGGGCGAAGGTAATCAGCTGCCATAATATGCAAGAAACAGAAAAGGATGACTACGATGTTTCAGAGTGACGCTGCCACACAGCAAGGACTTGTGCGCTGTCGTGCCAAACGACCCGGATCAACAACGCCTGGTTGATTGATGGGGGAGTGTTGCATGTACGCAGGAATCCTTCACTTTTGGTGGGAGAACTTTAGTCAGGTTCGTTCATCCAGGGTTGACAGGGCATCCTTCCTACCATGCAACCATGAACGCTGACAGCAGCTTCTTTTGCGTAAATGCCTTCACGGCAAAGCCAATGGATGGCCAAGATATGGCAGCCTTCCACTCGTGAGGGTGGGCTGCGTCTCTTGTGTGAGCAGCTCTGCATCTTGGCCTGGTATGGCCTCCTGCCGAGCCGCCCACTCAAAAGCACCGACTGACTGGGAAGGGGCGGGTTGCACAGGGAGTCCGCAATGCTTGGACACGCTTGGACTGCCACTCGCAGCCCCGGGCCACAAGTTGCACAAGTCGTTGCACAAGTCACGCGCAACTTGCGACACCATTCTAGCCTGGCCCGAGGCCAAGCTACCAAACCTCACGCTAAAGAATTCAGCGACGCTTGCCCTTGTGGCTGAGATCGCTGGCCGGGTGAGACGCCCTCCCAGCCTCGGGGGGTTTCAACATTACCACATGATTGACCATATAATTTGAACTTGCATTTGTATCGTTGTATATACATATAGATATATATAGATATATGTGTGTATATTAGTGTATACATGAATGCATCCATGAATCCATTCATCCACCCATCCATTCGTCTATCTATATATATATATGTATATTAGTATATACATAAATGCATCCATGAATCCATTCATCCACCCATCCATCCGTCTAGCTCTCTATTTATCTGTTTATCTATCTATCTACGTGTCCGTCTATTTGTCTATCTGTCTATTTATATCTATCTATCTATCGATCTATCTATCTATCTACCTATGTATGATCATCTATTTTTCTGGCTACATCTCTGCATCTATCCAGCTGCCTATTGATCTATCTCATTTGATATACATGCATTTGTTTCAACCTTACTAGTTGCCAAAGCCTAGCCAATTTGCAAGGGTGGGGGAAGCGCTGCCTTCCGCGTTGCAGCCAAATTCGGCGCTGCATTGCCCCCGTCCTATTCAGTACTGGCTGGAGGGGATTGAACCACCTGTGCAAGCTGCTCAGCGCCCCCAGGCGCCATACCTCTGAAGCACTTAGGCCTTGCGCTGGGTCACTTTAAGCAGTCTTTTGCTATGGGCCTCACTCGTGGACGGCCCAAGGAGGAAAAGCACAGCAAGCAAGACTGGGCCACGAGAGAAATTAGCCAAGCTATCCGGCTTGCTTGGCTTGAGTGCCCGTCATACTATTGCCGGCATAACACTTGTAGAATTGATACTCTTCTCTCCAGCGGCAGTCTTTCTCCGTGGCAAGTCGCGTGCATGCAGCCAACCACCCCCACATGTAAAGGGGTGCTTGTCACCGAGACGGGTTCGCGTGCCTGTTGGCATGCAATCATCGTCTGAGATGGCACCGTGTATGCCAACAATGCTTTCAGACCCACACATTTCCTCTTACACTGCAGCTGCCTGTAGCTCTAGAGCCAAGCTGCCAACAATATCAATGGGATTGGTACGCATTGGCGCTCTACCCACCTTGCCCACACACAAGATGGTTGTGGCTTGCAATTGCTCAGGACACAGGTTCATTGGCATCAATGAGTCCGCAGCAGGTGCATGCTTACTTGCTTCGGGGCAATCCATGAGTGACAATTTCAGCAAACAACTCCACAACTGAGGTAGCATTCCCTGATGCAAATCAAACAATCGCGATTCGGCGATTCGGCTGAACTGGGTGGCTCAAGCTTTGTTCTCACCAGTCATTTGATTTTGTCGATTTTGTCGGCTTCACCTCTGCGTCGTCCAAGCTCTGAGGAATGGATTCTTCCGCCTGACGGGGGAAATGCTAAACTTGCTTCTCCACACTGGCTGGACTGTCTTTCGTCTATGCTTTGGCTTCGTCATGAGGTCATTGCTGCCCATCCGTTTGAGAAAACCGCCTAAACATGACACCTGCAGCGACTCCAGGCTTACCCAAATGCTCATATATGCGCCTGCAGAAGCTCGAAAACCTGAGGCTAAATAGAAGATGCTAACAGCTGGATCGCGGAGACCCATCTCCTGCCTTCACCGGGTTGGGCGGTTGGGAGTCGAAGCTCTTCAGAGATTTCACCAGCCAGCCCAGCTCTTGCGACTTGCTCTTGGGAGCTGAGGGTGGCCTGGGCCAGCGCTTCTTGTGGTCCGTCCAAATCATCAGCATGACGTAGGTGAAAGAGCCCTGGCGTGCAAACTGTTCCTTCTGCGACCGACTAACACTTTGCGCCTGCAACCTGTGCATGCGCGTGCATGGCCCAAACGTAAGACGAGAGCCAAACTGCCATGCGGCTCACACCTTGGAGATGCAGTTGAGGACGCCGAAGCCCAGCGCATTCGACTTGGCATCCGCCAGCAGCCCCAGGCCCTCCGCGGACACAAGCCACCAACAAGGGAAGGCCGGCCAGGTGAGCCACACCTGTCTGATTGAACTAGGCGTTCAGACAAACCAGCTCTTTTCCCGGAAGCCGACCAAAAACAAAAGAAAGATGGGCGCAACCAGTTTTGCGAGGGTGGTATGCTGCTATCAGAACTCCTTGTGCAGGGCCGGGGGGGGGGTGCCCCGATTGGGAAACCATGAGATTTCTTCAAAATAAAATGGTTGGCCAACCAACCAACCGAAACAGCCGGTAACTGACCCTGGTAACAAAAAAGTCAAGTCCCTTCCTAGATTTCAGCATGGCATTGCAGCCATACAAAACAGTGAGCGTTCATTGCGAACATCTGTTGAACCACAAGTCAAAAATGCCGTCAGTCTGGAAGTCAGTGTGGGCAGGCAAGGCGCTGTGAACAGCAAACGCGTGTAGTTGTAAGGCAGGTCCGGATGCGCTTTGTAGCCCCCGTTGCACATGTACATGATTAACAGCATGGGCATCTGAATAAACATCATGATCGACAAGCCGGTTGCAGTCGCACCAATAAGCAGGCCCTTGTCGGTCACGATCAACACAGAGGCGTCGTAGTTCCTGGGCAGCAAGGGGCACAGTAAAAGCCAGCTGGTGGGACAAGAACACGACGAGAGAATCTAAGTCTTTCTTTGCTTACGTTTTCGGAGAACGATTGGAACAACGTTTTTATGTCCATAAGTAGCTTCGCGAATGCTTCGCAAAATCTGTGTCTATGGCACCCTCATAGGCCTCCAGGGCAGTTTGATATTCTTCGGTAAGACGCAGTGCACGGCTCGTTTGTGGACCTATGCCTAGAATGACAACCTACTTCTCATCAGCGCATTTGTCTTCACAATGAGAGAATATGGGAGACTTGCAAATTCGATTTGTCGATCTGCAGCTGGCAAGCCAGCTTGTAACACTCTGCGTGACATGCCGTATCCGTCTCAGCGTGCGCAGTGGAACACATTCAGACTGAGTACTCGCTTTCTTTGCAGACGTTAGCAGGTGAAAGGCAAGTCACTCCTCACCAAAATTTCTCGACCTAACTGTCCTGCCAAGATTCTCCACAAACGAATTCCAGCTGGAATCCTCAAAAAGGAAGCCGCTCTGCAAAGAGCCGATCCAGCCCGTAAGGAGCCAAACATGTGTGAAGACCATCACAGCAATCATGTTGAGCTTGTAGCAGGGCACCTGATGCACGGCGGTCAGAAGCCCCCAAAAAAAAGGCACGTCACACCTCATGACTGTGCGCAGAATATGGATGTATGTTGTGACAATTCTCAGCACCGGGGGCCATCCTAATGAAGACAATGAAGTTCCATTCAACTATGGCAATGCTTGCCTGGCCTTCGTAAAGGGAACACGCAAACACTTGTGCTTGCACGCTCATGCACACCTGCGCGCCCAAAACCCATGCCCCGCGCACCTTGCACACACACCGGCGCACACCTCCAAACAATGACGCGCACCCTCCCACACACACACACACACACACACACACACACACACACACACACACACACACACACACACACACACACACACACACACACACACACACACACCCACGCACGCACGCACGCACGCACGCACGCACGCACGCACGCACGCACGCACACGCACGCACGCACGCACGCACGCACGCACGCACGCACGCACGCACGCACGCACGCACGCACGCACGCACGCACGCACGCACGCACGCACGCACGCACGCACGCACGCACGCACGCACGCACGCACGCACGCACGCACACACACACACACACACACACACACACACACACACACACACACACACACACACACACACGCGAACACACGCGAACACACGCGAACACACGCGAACACACGCGAACACACGCGAACACACGCGAACACACGCGAACACACGCGAACACACGCGAACACACGCGAACACACGCGAACACACGCGAACACACGCGAACACACGCGAACTCGCCCATTTGGCTTTCGTTTTTAGCAGAACCTGGGCCAAAGGTCTACAAACTTAAAAGAAGCTCTGCCGAATTCTGCATCGTCTGGTGTTCAGCACGCTGCCAGGGCCAAATGTGGCTACAGGTAGCATAGCAGAGCAACTCTGCCTCTGAGAAACTCGAAGTGCAGCATCGACCAAAAACATGCCCAAAACATGGGACCGTGGCATGGATAACATGCTCAAGTCTCCCAATCAAGGCGCATAGGGGGCAATGAGCACCACCAGCTCTGCTTGCATCAGAGCACAAGTGAAGGCATAGCCCAGGTACCGCATGCCATTCCTGAATAAACGTGCGTGGAACACATTGACACAGATTGTCAACACCGGTCCCAAACAGCGCAATGTGGCGTTAGGCACACTGGAAAGCGTGCCCCCACTTTTGCACTAACTTGGGAAGGAGAAAGTAGCCAGTTGACACTCCGGGCAACAGTCAATCCTGGCAGACAAGCCTCAAACACCTGAGGCGCTCAACGCCAAGTGTGGGCACTGGGCAGCGTGAGTTTAACAGCTGTAAAGTAGCTGTGCGAGTGCAGGCATGCGGATGTGCAATGATGTGCAAGCATGCACACCATCAGCCAAGCTGCACATTGTTCACGTGCAACCAGCGGAAGACTGTGAAGAAGCATGCTGCTGCCTGAGCCAAACACATCGCCACGTTGAGCAGGTAGCACAGCTTAATCCGATCCTGCGTGCCAAAGCGCGCCAGCAAGAACGGCATGCCTGGCCCTCAAAGTCAAGGGAATGAGATCACATGGTGCAACCCGTGCATGGTTTCAACACGTAGAATTGAATGCAGTTGAGCCCAAATTTGAGGCTATTGCGGCTCAGGCTCTGAGAGTGGCCGCTTGTTCATCTCGGGCCACTGCTTGACCTCCTGCCAGGCGGGGTGGGCAAACTAAACAAATTGCATCCAACCAGAGCTAGCCCAATGCTTTTCTGTCAGTGCAATCAAGCCGGTGGATCTTGCGGCCTTTCTTGTTGCTTTTTCACATGGAGAACAGTTGGCAACTCTGGCCCAAGGCTCTTTGCTGGCTTCGATTTGCAACTGCCATTCAGCTGACCGGCCGGCTGGCCAAGGGCCCACATCCTTCCACCACGCGGCCACCATTGGATGCAGGGTATCGCCAGCGCAGCGCCAAATTGCCGTGAGCGGTTGCTTAACGTCCGCCCGCACGGCGATGCGCAGGGAGAGGTAGCAAAAGAAGGCACCCATGAGCACACCTGAGAAGCTGCACTTGGACCATAGTTTTGCCTTCAGTTGGCTTCCGATTTTGAGCGTAGCTTCCAGCTGCCCTATCAAATTATGTCTCTCCCTCGTTGGTTCCCTTGACAACGGGAGCAATTGTTCAATGAGCTTCACTGCAGGAATGCGGTCAAGCACAGCCAATCTGAGATGTTGCAAGTATCTTGCATCTCTACAGGAAATATTAATCCCAGCTGCTGGTCAAGCTCTCAATGGCAAAGGCGGGATAGAGTGGCCCACAGGCGCGGAAGAGCTGAAAGTCGTTGAGAACTTCCTCCATGAATGCGTGACGCTGCGGCCAGGCACGGGGAGGTGGGGATGAAGGCTGCTTGGCCCCAACTGCAGCACAAACCAGCCCTGTGGATTTCTGCATGCTTCTCTTAAAACGTCTGACTTGATGACAGCCTGCGCCCAGCAAACCAGGCAAAAGCGACACCTCCCAAAACCGAGCCCGCCACTGCCAAAGCACCTGGGTCCAGAGCTCCGAAAGGCTTGACGGCTTAATGAGTCATGGGAGTGGCAGGGCCAGAAGTCCAGATTTCGCTATGGCGTCAGTGGCGCAAGCAGCCATATTGAGACATGGGGGTAGTGGCCCTAATGTTCCTCGTGTCCATGGTTGTGCGCGCGCGGGAAAGCTGTGTCCTGCCCGCCCGCGCTGAGCTCCCCACTGGGCCGTGACATCGCGTGCCTCAGGCCGCTTTATTTCCACTCTGTCTCGAGAATCGCAGCGCAAAGTGCCGCCGAAGCGCTGGCCAGGGTGCTGCTGTTGAGGCTGCGCCTGGGCTGAATCCATGCATGTGTGCAATTGGACGTTTCAAACTTAGGAATGCCAGGAACAGGCCGCAAAAAGGGTGCACCGAAGCTCCAACAAGGAAAAGGCCCACTTGTTCCAATGAAATCACTGTTGTTTTGCCATCGTTCTGTTCTGTTCTCATCTGCATCTTTTTCTCGTGCTCTGCAAAGCCCAGGCTCTCTGACTGGGCTTTGCGCGAGGCTATGCCCATCCCTGGCAAGAGGCATAAACTGAAAGGGGCACAGCCCATGAGAGGTCATATTTGCCAGGCCCCGTCCAGAGACCAGCAGCACGTCTTGTTGGATATACTTAGGCAGGAATGGGACTTGGCCCAAAGAAGGCCGCTCTCACAATGCAAAGTTGTTTCAGGCATCTTCTGGCCGAAGTTTGACCTCCACCCGAGGCAACACACAACGGGATCAAGTGCAAGGTGGAATGAAGGGGGCCTTCCCCCCTCTGACCTGCATTGCGCCGGCGGCGACAGCGGCTGTACCTGGCGCCGCTCAAGGACTGCAAGAGCGCCTAGGAGGCCATCCTCTGGCTAAGCTCAAGGCCATCTTCAAAAGGCTGTTCAGCAAGAACGAATGTCCGGAACAAGGGTGGGCGCCATCCAGGTCGGGCCAGTATTGCTTGCGCATGTTTGACAAGCTGCCCGGAAACTCCCTTTGGATGGTGAGAACACAAACCCCATCGCATATGATTGTTGGGCCCATGGCCGTCGAATTCCACAGCCAGCGTGGCAACCAAGCCCAAAATGCCGACAAGAACATGCTGGCCTGCCATTCCCAGCAGGTGAAACTGTAATTCTACTCTTGTCCCAAGGGAAACCCAGCCATTCCCCCTTTGCCGACAGAGTTGGGTTTGGAGAAAAAAGATCAAGATCTGGGGCTTTGCCCTGGGACCCCCGGATCGCCGGCCAATTTTGAACCAATCAAGATCCCTCAGCGTCCAATCGCGGAGCAGCGTTGGGCATCGCTGCTGTTTTCTGCTTCGAGTTCCGCCGTCCTATCTTAAAGCGCTGGCATTCTTCCTTTTAACTGGAAACAGGAAGGAAGCGACGCAGGTCGGGGGCAGGGGCTCACTCCAATCGCGGTACACTCGCTGAGTTTGGCGGCGAAACTTCGGTTTGCAGCTTCCAGCCCCTGCCAGCAAGCAGATTTGGAAAGCGCCGTCTGGCCCTCCACAAGAACTTTGGCTCGAGCCCGTGCAATCAAAATCAGCGAGGCACGCGTCGGTACCATGCAACTTCTAAACTCATATTTCGCCTCGGCCCCAAACAAAAAGGCCAAGGGCGCTCAGATCTCTTCCCCCCCACCCATGTCGGCTGGCCCAAAATCCTGTCCGGCGGGCCTTGAAATTTTCGGGGTTCGTCGACCAGTCTCACGTGTCTGAGACTGGTCGCAAGCTACGCCAGCTACTAAGCCTGTCTGACGTGCCCCAGCCCCTCAGTCCGGCTGCTCAGCCCAGGCTGGCCAGGCCTTGACCTCCTGCTCGCGTCTGGCCCCAAGTCATCCCAAGGCCCAGCCCCTTCGGCGCAGTTTGAGACCAGTCTCAAAGTATGCCAGCCTGAGACTAGCCTCAGGCCCAGTCCCTCAGCCCGCCTGCTGGCGTGTCTTACGTGTCTGCGACTGCCCTCAGCCCAGCCACCCAGCCTCAGGCCCAAGTGTGTATGAAACAGGCCTTGCCCATCCAGCAACCCGCCCAAGCACAGCTCAGCCCAGCCCGCCCAGCCCAAGTTCCAGGCGCAACCAGCAGCGTAGTCCGGCTGCCCGGCAGCCAGCAACCCAGCCATGGCTTCGCAGCGTGACCAGTCTCACGTGTCTGAGACTGGTCTCAAGCTACGCCAGCTACTAAGCCTCAGCCCAGGCTGGCCAGGCCTTGACCTCCTGCTCCAGCCAGCAACTTGCTACCCAGCCTCAGACCCAAGTGTGTATGAGACAGGCCTTGCCCATCCAGCGACCCGCCCAAGCACAGCCCAGCCCAGCCCGCCCAGCCGAAGTTCCAGGCGCAACCAACAGCATAGTCCGGCTGCCCAGCAGCCAGCAACTGAGACTAGCTTCAGGCCCAGCCCAACCAGCAACCCGCCTAAGCAAACCTCACCCAAGCCCACCCTGTTTCAGACTCGCAGGCCTCAGCCTATCTAGCGCCGAGACTGGGCCTCACCAGCCTGGGCTCAACCCAGCCCAGCCATAGCCCAGCCCCCTCAGTGCGGCTGCCCAGCCCACCGTAAACTAGCTGCAGCTTCAGGCCCAGCTCAACCAACAACCCACGCAAGCAAGGACCAGCCAAGCTGCCCGAGACTGTCCGAGCAGGACGGCTTCCGAACATCGAACTAGCACGAGCGAACTGGTGCGGTCACAAGCTTTCAGTAGGATTCGGACCTTCCCAACACTGGATTTCGGTGTTCCTGACCCTTCCCTCAAACTAGGCTGGGCCGAGGCGGGCAACGCGAAGCGTTTACAATAAATTCGCCTTTCGCGGTCCAATCGCCGGCCTTTCGCGGCTCGAGTCTTACCAATCGCGCAGTTCAAGTTGCCGCTGTTTATACATTTTAGACGACATGAAGCTTGCCAACTTGGACACCTCATTTGAGCCCCGGCGCGTCCCCCAACCGCCCACCTGAAGAGCGGCATGCCTGAAAGCGCGTGAAGCTAAAAACCGCGGGCCAGCTCTTCGGCACTGGAGAAGGGGTTCTTTTCATGCCTCCTGTAAATACGCAGGCAATCATGCTTAGGTGTTGTACATCAAAAGCGGCAACGAGAATGCCAAACCTCCACCACCCATGCCTGGCGGCAAATTCTTCACCAAATATGAATATATACTACGATCGTGCTGCAATGGCATTGCCAATCATGGCCGCAGGCAGAATCTTGAAATGACTTTGCTTGAGCCTGACCTGATGGCTGCGCTCCGGTGCCTGCATGAGCCGACTGCGGAGCAACTGGTGCATCGATCAACCCACGCGCCGCTGATTGAACTAACAACCTTTTGAGACAGGGCCAGCAGAGGAACACCCAACACCTACGCCCCCCTAGCCTCCAACAGTCCTAGTTTGGCAGACTGTTGGGGGGCGCTTCCACTCGTTCCCCATATGTAGCCTAGGCAAACCAAGCAGCCAGGCCTCAAAGGGGATAAGTTCCTCGGCGGAGATGCCTTGCAAGCAGAGCAAGAAACTAACTGACTGGACGAGTCACGGGCAGCGTCATTGCTTTGCTGTACGGAAACCATGGTCGCTTGCTGCCTCCCTCGTGTCGGAACACTTTGCAGATTCGGCACAGGGCGTTGAGAGAATCAAACCATGATGGAGCTGCTTGCCGGCCACAGCTCGCCAACAGGCCAACAAAGTATACGTACTTTTGCTGGAATACCGACATCAATATTCAACGCAAACGGCCAAAGACCAGCTGAAACAATCAATATGTTTTTGTGGTTTTGATAATCTTTCATATTCAAGCAAGCTCACCGCGCCTGCGGAGAAGCTACCTGTGGAACCAACGCCCTGGCGCCACTCAAGCCATCTGTGAAACTTTCTGAGGCTTTGCAATGCTGATCTAGGATCCTTTTTGGGTGGCTGCATCCCAGCCTTTCTCTGGTACTGCTTGCCAAAACTCTGCATTGCGCAAACTCAAGCCATCGCGCATCGCAACGCCAACAAACCCAGGACAGCAGCCCTACAATGCCGCTCTCCATTCCTCGTGGGTGATGCGGGGCGCTGGATCATGGAGGCCTGGCATGGGAGGCCAACTCTTGTTCACATTGGTTCATGTAAAGCATGCTGCCTCCATGCCTGTGTTCGAGGCAGAGTGATGTTGACAAGCTGAGTGACCCTGGCTTGCCAGCACTTCTAATGTGGCTACGCTGCCAGGTCCAAATTCAGTCCCGACACATGGCGCGAAACACCGGTGCTATGCGACAGCGAGCCTCTGGAAGCGTGAATGCTTGGACAGGCCTGCAGGGCGTTGGACACCGTTGGACCCCATCCAGTTGATTCGGTTTTCGGTGCTTGGAAGCTAGTTCAACGGGGAACGGATTTGTCGTGATCAGCGGATTGAGATCTGCTTCGTGCTTGAGGTTGTCACGGGAGGAGGAACACATGGTGCACGCAGAATGAGGACGTTCGCCAGAAGCGTAGCAGCTTGTTTGAACGGCAATCATGGCCCCAAGACTTGGAAGAGTCGGTGCAAGACTTGAAAGAGCCGGTGCGGTCAGCACGCAACCGAGTCCAATTGGAAGTGCAAGTTGTCACTGCAAGTAAGCAGCCCACCACCTCCCCGGCCGGAGCAGCGTGAGAGAGAAGTATGGCTGGAAAGTGCTTAAGTTCTTATGGTTCTGGCAACGCAGCACAGATTTAACTAACATGGCTTTTGTGGTGCCGGCGTTGGCGCAAACCAACAGTGCCCAGGCGTTGACCAAACAAGTCTTGTGGGTGGCCACTTAGCCCGGTCCCCCAGAAAAGCTGATTGCTCGTGGCATTTGCCTTCGGACTCGGATTCGCGCTGGTTTCCAAACATCTACAGGTTTCACAGAGACAGCCCATTGCACCAAACGAGTGCGTCCTGCCTGGGCGCGCTTCGACACGGCGAAGCCACCTGAATCCCACTGAAAAACAAAATGTTTGGCCAAAGGCGACACCGTATCGGAGTCCTGGACTTGGAAATTGCCCATTTCTGGGAATGCTGGAAATGGAAGCCAAACGAAACCACTGGTTCCAATCCGATTCCCATACTTTGGAAACCACCCGATGGATGCAAGTTGCAACGAGAGGCTGTGAGGAGCTGGTCCAATGCCTGTGTGTGTTGGTGTGTGCAGGGGGGGTATCGAAAGTTGGGGCGCACTACGATAAGCTCCGCCAAGATGTCGCTCAACAAAAGCAAGCCCTTCATACCGGACATCTAGAATTCCTTCCTCTGAAAAAGGCCAACAAGCCGCAGTCTTTTGGACTTTGCATTAAAGCGTGCACCTATGGATGCATGAGTGCAAGCTGCCTGTGCGCCGACTTTTAGACGTCTAACATCTAATTGACAGGGCAGTAATGCAATTGCTATCACATTTGGGCAATTCAGCACTCACGCCCTGCATGTCTACCCCACGCTACACATAAGCCCCTCAGGCGCGGGTTTCAGCTCCATTACCAACGCCCACGCATCTGCTCGATCTTCCTGGCGGTCTCGCACCCTGGCTAACCATTTCAAAATCTAGCATACCTAGCCTAGGACCTGAAAGTGTGCCAAACCATCCATATATCCGCCCTCATGCATCCTGGGGGGCAAAAGGGAAAATCTGGCCGAACCGTGTTTGGGGTGGCCGCGGCTTCAATCTGCATGTCCACCTCCCTGCTGACGATGTCAAAGTGCTACAAAACGCAAATCCATTGCCAATCAGATGCTTTCTACTCTCAGGAAATATAGCCTCCTCAAAACACTGCCCCCTGTCGCAAAGGACCTGTTTCGGGGGGGTGGCAGGGCCGTCAATAGCGATGATGGCGACGCAAATGTCTACGCCTTGCTCACGCGTGGGTTCTTCACTGATTCATCCATCATTGCCCATCTGGGTTCAAATGAAATGTAAATCAAAGGGCCCGCGCTCTATGAGAAGGCCCCATTTCACTCGGTCAGACTTGGATGCCATACCTACGGCAGCAAGTCGTGATGGCCATGTCACATGCTACTTGTGACCACACAGCTTCCACTTAATCTAGCTGTGCCAAAAAACACAAGACTCCGCCCATGCAAGCTGAAAGTGCACAGCTCAGCAAACAGGGCCGCCACGGTAAAAGCAACTGCCCACCGAGGTTGACTTGCAAGCTTGCCCAAGCGTCTGCCACATCGACGCCGGCGCCGGCTTGGTTCTGCACTTGGAGAAAGCCGCTTCGCAAGCTATCCTAAGTTTGCGTCCTATCTCTGATGGCCCCGGCGTCCCCCAACACCAATTTTTGCGCCACAGGGGACGACATCAACATCTCGGGTTGGTAAAACGGCTTGCCAGCTGCGCCTTTGCATTTACATTGGCTTTGGAAGGAAATGGCTGAAGTTTGCCACACACTTCCCTTCTCTTAGCATGGCATCAGGGATGGTTGAACCTTTCCATGCGTGCGTTCACGGGCAAATTTGTGAATCAAAAGGCAAGCTGCTGGCACTCGTCCATCAAGTCGCGTAGCCGATTGCAGCGCTGGGTTTGCTCCCTGCAGTCCGCCAAGTAGCAATCGCCTGAGCTCACTTTGCATGCGCAAGAAACGCATGCCAACTCAGGGTCCACCGTTGCTTGATTTCTCTTAGGCAAATGGCAAAGGGTCGCCCCAGGAGACGATTGGCAACGTGCACAGGCACACAGCAGTAGCGCAAACGCAACAAACTCACAGCAGCGTGTTGGCTCATCCCGGGAGTGCGGCGCATCTTCCTGTACGCTCCTTCACACCTCAGCTTCACGCAAGGCTCTGACAACAATTCGAACATGCCCCGCGAGCAAAGCTGAAAGTTGCAGCGAGACGAGGCCTCCCCTCCTTTCTTCAGCACTTGCATCACTGCCCATGCCCACATCTGCTCACTGAAAACACTTTCTCAGTGGTCTTCATATGATGATTTTGAACAACCGTGGCGTGATCTGCACTGACGACAAGTCAAGCTGCAGCACGCGGGTGTGCTGGCAGCGTTCCGCATCAACATCTGAGTCCTGGGGGTGTCCACGGTGAATGCATGTTAGCACAAGGTCAACCAGGCAGCACTCGGCTACGAAAAAGACTCCCCAGCGATCCCTTGAACACCTGTGTAAAACAACGAGTTCCTCTAACAACTTACATTGACCTGAAAAGCAAAGACGTCAAAAGCAACAACTACATGCAATATCCGGTCAGCACTTTGGCTGGTTGTTGAGCCCTTTCAACACCCATCGCTGCGTAGAAGGCAAAGCGCCTGCCACAGAGCTACACGTTCTGTATGCAACAATGTCACAATGTGGATATTTCCAGAAACATGCTAAGGCAGCCCTGCGCTCAGTAGCACACACTCAGCAACAAAACCCCTCTCAGCCTTCTTGCATTCAAAGGACTTCATTAGAAAATAATTAGCACCCTTGCAAAAAATGGCTCCTGCAAAACCTAAGGATAGAGCAGGGCTGATCTGCATCCAACAAACAGTAGAACCAGAAGCTCAATTGTAGGCTTCCCACAGGTCAGGTGCAGCCCAACCAACCCAAATGCGTCCAGTGGCTGTCCTGCTCCCCTTGTTAATTGCCTTCACGGCACCCCTGCGCCCCACCACCACACCACATGACAAAGTACAAAGACCCTCCAGGCAACAGGGGCTGAATGCGCAAGTCATTGCCATTTGCCTCACTGACGCTTGGATTGCACGAGTGATTATGAACCCGCAGTAGGCTCCGAGGGAAATGGGCTTTTGGCATGGCTCTGCCTCAGCCAAAGTGAAGGCACAAACATACGACCACGTGTTTTACAACATGTTTTACAACATGTCTTACATGTTGACTCCTGGCTGGGTTCAGCTCCCATGTCTGGACATCCCGCCTTCACCAGCTTCCGCGCAGCCTTCCGCGCCTGCAGGCCCTCGGCAAAGAGCTCCAACGGGACGCCTCCAAGGAGGCCCTATCTGGCTACATCATCATTTCTAGCCTCGATCGAATTACAAAATAATAATAATAATTGAGTGTACCTCCCAAAATTAAGGGTCCACCTCGCGCCTCGTATTTCGGGGCCTTCCTTGCCTCTTGTAAAATGGGTGCAACATGCCGGTATGCTCGCGGTTGTGGCAAAACCGGCGTGGCCACTCCCTGCAGGCCCCGAATGCAGAACATGAAGGAGATAGAGAAAGCTGATACTCCCCGAAAACTTCTCGAAAGCTGCTGGTGTTTGGCTTTTTGGAAGCAAACTTCAAACACAATGGCTTCTCAGAAACCCGGTCCCGCTTATTTGGGGTTCTCAATCAATCCCACTCTTTATTTGCTTTTCGGGAGAACATGAAGGGGGAAGGGGATGCAGGAACGCTGATATGCTCTCAAGCGCAAGTTCTCGCAGCCATCATACGAAATGGCTGGGACTTAAATCTCAATAAAAGAGGGGGGCCGAGCCAGGTGCATTGCTAGTTGCAACTGCTCGTTCTCAAACGTCTGTGTTTTCAAGCTTCTTAGGGCCCAATTCAAATTAGCAAGCACGGATGGTTTTGCGAACCTGATGAAAGTCAGGGGGAGGGGGGGGGAATTTTCTCAACCATATGCGCTTTCAAGAATTTTGGGGCCACATAATCAGGAACGGCTGGTTTTGAAGAACCTGATGACAGTCTTGGAGAGAGACTCTCAAATGTGTGTGAGTTCCAGTTTTTTGGGATCAAATAAGCAGAAACCGCTGGTTTTTGAGACTTAGTGAAAGACAGTGGGGTTGGATGTTCGCAAACGTGCGTGTGGTTTCCAGTTTATTTTGCCAAACAAGCAGACATGGCTGGTTTCTGAAAACCTGATGCCAGTCTTGATGAGAGACAAGGTGGGATGCCAGTCTTACTGAGAGACAGAGAAGGGCAGGATGTTCTCAAACGTTTCTGTTTTCAAGCTTCTTGAGCCAAATACGCAGAAACGGCTGGTTTATGAGAACATATGAGAACCAAGAGCCAGTCTTCATAAGAGAGGGGGGAGGGGGTCAAGTTGTCCCAAGCTTGGGCACCAAACGAACTCTGCAAACAGTTGGTGCGGTAGCCATCGAAGATTTGTCAATGAAGCCCCGGTGAGCCGAAAAACAGCCAACGGATATGAGAAACCCTTATTTCGGAATCCACCTCGTAATTCCGGGTTTAGGGCTCGCCTGGGGCCAGTGGGCTCGCAACAATTTAGCCAGCCTGCAATGCCTTCGACTTTCGTTGCTTCAGTCCAAGTGGGGAAGGCAGGAGGGGGAAACGCCAGAGAGGTCACGAGGAGCTTAGGACTAAAATGAAGAAAGACGATAGCATAGTAGACGGACCTCCCGCTTGATTACCAAATATCTGAGGATGCTTTTTCGACCTCTCTGACCCCTTTACCCGTTTGTCAATTTCGACTGACAACAAGGCGCAACCAGGCTGAACAAAAAATGCACCTTGCTCAAAACGAGCACGCGAAGATGGTGAACATGGTGGTGGTAAGCGTCTGTCAAACAAAATGCGAACGCCGCAGGACAGGAATATTGCAAAAACCAGCGAAGACAGTGCACGTGGCGTCTCGTTTTTCTAAGCCTCATCCAACTGGCACAGGCGCATATTCAAAGGCTGAGAACAAGTGATAGTGGCTAGTGACTAGTGGGACAACTCCAGGTCGCTCGACGTGGGTGCCTGCAACGATAACGCAATCCTCCTGCTCCATGGCAGGAAGGAGCGAGCGGACTGCAAATCCCGTGCATTCAGGATAGGACATCTCTGGTGGGATGGTTGGAGTTGGGCTTTTGGGGGGGTGGG